GGTATTTAAATATATCATCAGAATAAATGCCCTTACGGTAGTTACTTTGATCTTTTTTTCATCATTTGTGGAGGGAAGACGTGTAAATGCTATCAAGATTTATGTATTATTAATTATTTTTATCATTCTTCTCTACTTTCTCCTCATTCTTAGTCTCTGAACACTTTTTTTCAGAACTGATCATAGATTTTAGTTAGGTCAGGGGGATACGAACCCTAGAAATTTATAGGGAAAAACAGCAATTCTTATAGGCAAAATAAGCAGTTATAAATAGTCGACCGAAAAAAAGAGAAAAATGACTAATTGCCCTTAAAAAGTAAGGAATATTGCAGATCGTAAAAATCGCTTGTGGACAAACTTTAGTCCAGTGATCTCCGAGATCAAACCTCGGAAAAAAACATAAGCTTCTCGATTCAACTGACAGGCGACTCTCTTTTTATAAAGTTGTTCAAAGAGGATGGCAAGCTTTCATGGAAACTTCGACAAAAAGGTAGAGCTTCAATATGTATTTTCCGAAAACTACTAAAGTGCTTTCAAGCTGGCAGGAAGTCACCAAATACTGAGAACTTTGCGACCACAGTAGCGGGGAAGAGGATTTTTACCCATACTTCTAGTTCTACTTAAACTATCTCAGGAATTTCAACATCCATCGATTCAAACTTTCTGGTGTATAATAGATGAAGTAAACACTTGCAAATATGATAAGCTACTATAAAACTATTAAACTAAGATGCACAATACGAGTATTTATGTATAATATACTGAATAATAAAATACATTTATAACATTACAAAAATTCATAAAACATAAAACATAAACAAACCCAAGCATTAATAATAGTATGTTTATAAACCACAAGTACCTTTTAACTCCTCTGGTGGATTTCTGCATTTGAGTTTTGAAATTAAAAGACCTAGTTAGTTATATTAAAGACATTTTCATGCTCATCACAACTGAATGAAACTTTGCGCAACTATTTATTTATATATTCTTGAAATTTAATTGTTAAAAAATGTGATTTCCCATTTTTACTTACTTCAGACAATATATTTCAAACATATAGCATCATGTATACATAAAATAACTTTTAATTTTTAAATATTTTTTAAATTCTAAATTATCTGCTATTAGCTAATTTACGAAAATTAACGTTTTTCTCTCTCTACCTTAGTAGAGTTTTGAACAAAAAAAAAAAAAAAAAAAAAAAAAAAAAAAAAACTAATAGCTCCTGATATAGTTACTCACTCATATCAAAAATGTAAATATTCTAATACTGTAAGGATACCTTTTTGCCAAAATAATTAAAAAAAGAATTAAAATTAGTATAAAATTAAATATAATAAAACAGTTAGTTATTTTGCGTATTAGAATACATAGTTTTCAGTAGGAAATATGTGTTTCTCGACTTTTAGTAACACATTTATTTAGTGACAATAACAAAAGCAATAATCAGTTAATTAAGACATCCTACTTCAATATAGTAGATTTGGAGCTTTTTATCAATGATGTTCATTTGTTGCCTGCATTCATTAAAACAATGCTCATACCCTTAACTAGATAAATGGATTGTATTTTTAATAATCTTCAGAAATTATTCATAATGTTTAAAAAATTAAGTAAATGAGAGATTTACACGAAACTTTTTCTGATGAAACGTGGTATTTTGCGAAAAAAAGTCACAACTGTTTTAATAAAAAGTAGTATTAATTTCAGGCAGCATAAATTCAGTTGGTGATATCTAAATAATAAAGAAGATATCAAAAGAAGAAATGAGGAATAAAAGCTGTCTTTCCGTATATATTTTAGTTTTACAGAGTTAAGCTACCAAGGTGATTACCAGAAGATCCGATATTCCATTTCGGTCAAAAGCACCGAGAATGTTTCGATATTTTCACCATTTGTAAATTCCACAGTTTCCTCTATGGTGAGGGCCCGCACCAGCGGCCGAGCGGTAAAGTCGCTGAACACTGGTAGTTCGGCCCGAGGTTCGAATCTCGCGAACGGGCTGGCTGCATGGGCGCCCTCGCGGCCCCCCCCCGTGTGCAACGCGCATACGAGCCAGTTTCCCTTAGAAAGGCATCCCTCCCCTCAGGCAGATAGCCCTAGTATGCTTTGCCATAATTAAATACACCACACCACCTCTATGTTGAGGTGATCAAGATTGCAATTATTTATAGATATATTTTATGAGTTTGTTTTCTGAGATATATCTATTGATAAAGATCACTATATGTATATTTATATATAAAATTCTTTTCATCAGCTTGGAATCTTATACATGAAAAGTAATTTTTAAAGAATAGGCATGAATAATTTTCAAAGTATCTGTTAAAACAATGAGCAGTTTGCAAAATTGTTTCATTTTTGTCTAAAATAAAAGCCTTTCTGTCATTTATCCTGAAGACTTATATAATTATTAATTGCATTTTCTTTTACAATTTTCAGTATAAAAAGTAAATTTTTTAAATTTCCATTTGCTTTGAGGCAAATATTTTCGTGCTTTTCCCTCAAAATCCGAGTGTCTGATGTAAATGCACTTAAAATAAATGTCATGTATAGAAAATTTTAGGCTTATATATGTATGGATCTTTTGAAGCAATTCAGATATGAACTCTTAAAAATGAGAGATCATGAAAAATGCGGTTAAAGATAAATGCATAGACATATTTTGGCTCTATCGTTTCAACTAAATCACAATATGCACATATTTTTTATCAGTTATTTACACAAATCAAAGACTTTGTAAAAAAAAATTATTTTTACAGAAAAATTAATTTAATTAAAGATTCAAAATATTTATTTTACGTATGTTACTTGAGTAAAATATGTATGCGAACAAGTTCAAAAATAAACCAAGTGTACAGAGCTCAGAATAATTTTAAGCAAAGAATCAAAATTTATAATATATGTTATATTCATATTATTAACTGATTAATATGTCTTTCTCAGAAACCGTATAACGTATTTTCTGCTCCCCTTCCCGCATGCCTTCGTGTTGTAATTGGCTCCAGGGTTCGAGTCCTGGCTAGCGCATTGCGGATTTATTCAGTTTCTCACTTCGAAAAGTTCGAAAATATCTCAACAAGTGGCGCCCAAAATAATAGGGGGACCGGAAAGTAATGTCGTTTCAGCGCACGTCGACAACAACATGCTAATGGTAGAAGTGGAAGCAAATCCCCCCCCCCCATTTCAAACACTCTTAACCAACCTTGGTCGACCATCCAAGAACATTTAAAGCAGAATTGAAAAATAAGTAAAGCAGGTGTTTGAGTCCCCCATAATGTGTCCGAAAAGAACAAAGCCAACTTATCCATCACATGCAACGTATTGCTTTAACGGCACCATACAGAACAGTTTTTGATCGTTTGATTAGGGAAGACAAAAAAAAAAGTGATAATCCAAACTTCAAAAGGCAGTTTTAATAGGGGTTACAAAGGATAAGGATTTACATCCCGAAAAGGCGCTTCTGGGTGTTTGATGGAGTATTGTTCATTTTTAATTGCTGAAATCTGGACAAACTGTTAATGCAGATCTTTATTGTGAGCAATTGGATGGAGTGAACCAATCTTTAATCGAAAAATGCAAAACGACAATGCAAGACCACACTGTGCAAGACGAACACTGCAAAAATTAATGAATTGGGGTGGGAGGTACTGCCATACTCACCCACCATACTCGGCCGATATAGCAGCATTGGATTTCCATTTTTTCGGATCTCTAAAACATTTTCTTAGTGGCAAAAAATTTGAAAATTTGGATAGTGTCCAAAATGTCCTCTCGAGATATTTTACTCAAAAACCAATTGATTTTTATCGGTCCGGGATTGAAAATCTGCATATTAGATGGCAAAAGGTTGTTGATAACGAGGGTGATTATATTAATGATTAAAAAAAAACTTGCTAAGAATGTATTCGTTTGAATTTAATGTAAGAAAGCAGCATTTCTTTCCAGTTTCCCCCTATTAAAAATGGTGGTGGACGCTAATTAGTTACCACGAGAATTTGGCGATTGGATCCCCTCATCACCAGTTTCCTTTAAAAGGGGGAATGTATAAGGTATTTCTCTCCTTTCCGCAGCCTTCGTGGTAGAATACTGGAAGCGTATTCCAGGGATGTTTCGAATCCCGGTGAAGACATTGCACATTTTTCACTTCTGCTTCAAAATAACCTAAGGATTCTGCAACGTAAATACAAAATTTCAGTAACGATCTAGCACAAAAAACAAAAAAACTAAAATTAAAATTGACGTGAACAGAACTGAATTTTAAAAAACATCAAAAATAGATAAATGGTATACAAGTATGTAAATTCACAATAAGCAACTTCAGATTATTTCACTTTGTAAAAGGTAATTGAGAAAAAGACAAAATAATATGTACAGTGGTGTCTCATTCATAGAATACAAGAAAACATTTTGGATAACCTCTGACGCCACTTTCGTAGAAACATACGTTATTTGCAGTATTTTTAGAATAAAAATATATAAATGTGATTTTTCTTCGAGATTCTTGTACCTTAAATTCTCATTAAGTAACTAATGTGTGAAACGCTACCTAAAGGGCTATTTCGTATCTAAATAGCATCCTAAAGAGCTATTGTTAGCAGCTATAGTATACATGTGACTTATGCATGATGTCTTGAAAAGTATCTATCAGCATCCTCATTGGCATTTCAAGATTCATTTGTAACATTAAATATTTTGTTTGCTCTAAATTGATACTTCCAGAATCTGTCTATCTATATATATATCACAAGTCTATTTTATTTTATTTTATTTGAAACAACAAGCAATATGGGACTAATTCGGTTTATCCACAAAGCATCGATGTCGTAAATTACTATGCTGAAACAACGTACAAAATATACATCTGAAAAAGAGTATTAAAGTAATGCTAAACATGCGAAATACGTAATGAAATCACCAAACTATACATCAATGTAATCTCTATTGTATTCTTATCCATTATATATCAACCTATATGCGTTATGTTTCTTCAACAGGGGCATTTAAGCTCTATGACGTCGATAATGATGGTTACATCACAAGAGAAGAAATGTACAGCATTGTAGATGCCATCTACCAAATGTTGGTAAGCAAGCGTTTATTTCTTAATAACACTTATTTATTGTGATTTTCAAAAGTTAACATACATAACGAAAGTAAAGTATAAATACAATATTATGTGTTTTCGTAAGATTTCTCTTCGTTTGTTCTTTTAACACACGCATGCTATCATCTGAGCTTAATTTTTTTTTACTTGCTGTTTCACATGAATGATAACTTTAGGAAGAGATCTTACAGGTCCTACCGCTAACGCAGAAATTATTTGCAATATTAATTAAATTTTAATTAATTTTATTAACAAAATGAAAGAAGGATGAAAAATTCCGTAGTTCCCAATGTTTTAAATTTTTAGATTCATAATAGTAGAACAGTTGAATTTATGTGATATCATGTAAATTTTTTAATATCACATGATTTACAACTTGGATTTTGATTTCGAAAGTAAAACAAACAAATATAGTGCAAGTTTTAAAAGTATTGTTTAATACAAATATTTTGTACAATTTAAAATGCATGTTAAATAATTTTAGATTAATTTGTGATTAACTTCTGGCAATATAACATGTTCAGATCACTTTCTTTGATTATGGGAATAAACAAGCTAAATTGTAAAACTATAATACAGGATACCTTCTATAAAGATGTACCCGAAATAGATGTACATCTTTTACCGGATACAGGATACCTGAAATTTTCTGTGAAGATGGTCGTCTGAGAAAGATTTCATTTAATACCAATGTATATTCTCAGAAACGGTGGTCTATTTCAGAAATGGTCATATTGGGAATAATAACAGTATGCTTCAATGAACTAGATTCTTAGCAGATATTGCGAAGCTGCTACGAAATTTGATACACAGATGCATCTAGACCAGAGCCAGTGCACCTAAGCAATTTTTTCAAAATTCGAATCACAATTTTTTTATTTTAACTTTTTTGATGAAATCGTATCATTTTGAATAGTTTCATTCTTTTACAAATGTGGTTTTGTCAAGAGTTTTTCATTCAATGCTTTGTATACTGGACTGCTGACAGTTGAAAATATGACATAAAATGCTGCTTATTTCCTTTTGATTTGGGGCACGCAGCACGCATATCGCGATCTTCTTATTCTGAAGCGCATGTGTCTCGCAAGGCACAACAGAAAGAATTTCTTTTTTCCCCTCTTACTCTTTATTAGGTAATGGCAAAGAGTTTTGTATACTTTGAATTATGTCATCCAGAAAGCACAATTTTGATTGGTTATTGCTTTCTGATGATAGTTTCATTCTTTTAGAAATGTGGTTTTGGCCAATTTTTTCATTCATTGCTTTGGATACTGGAGTGATGACTGTTTTCTCTTAAAAATATGAGATTTGATGCTTATTTCATTGTAATTGTTTTATATTATGTTTTAATTATATAAAAATTTTTCATGATTGTTTCTTAGGAAACAAAGTCCTTGACTGCATCTAATAAGTACCATTTGAATTCTTTATTTTGCAACGGAAAGTTGATTAATTTACTTATTAGGATAATTAATATTTGTATTAATTGATATTGCTTATTTCATTGTAAGTTTTTTAATATTTGATACATTTTTATTGATTTTTTTGTAAAGTTGTTCAGCAGAGTAAAATTCTGTGCAGGTTTTATACTTGTATTTAATGTTTGGTGTCCTCTTTAGGCATTTTTACGATACATTTAAAAGCCAGACGAAGGCTAGCCGCGTCGCGGCTTGTATGTATATATATATGTATGTGCGTGTATTTAATGAAATTTTGCTGTGAATGGTATAGAACATAATGTAGCTGGTGCATAAGTACGTGAATACGGTAATAGCCGGTTGAACACTTCTCTATTGTTGACAAAATATTTTTGAAGCAGATGTACACAACTATACCTGTGTAAGGCCTATCATTTTTTTTTAACTTTTCATACTTTTATAATATATTTCAAGCGAAAACGAGCAGGAGTAGAAAATATGTTAACATGACTGAGAAGCTAAGATGAAAAGCGGGGATTAAAAAATGAATGTTATAGTTTCCTTTATCTGTGTTAATTAAGCTATTTGATTTTCAAAATTTGACATTACTGTTGGCTTAAAATCGTTTGTGCTATGATAAGCATTCCTCATGAACATCATACAGGAGCCATATAATATGTACTAATTTTGAAATGACGCAATCAGAAAGATTTATTATAAGTATTTTAAGTAACTGCCAAATTTAGAACAGAGAATGGAAAAAATTCAGTCCAAAAATAAAATAAGCGCTTTATCTTACATATATGAAATACTGAGTTTAAAACCTCCATCTCGATAGTTTTGTTCTATCATGGTAAGATAATGAAAAATAAGCAAATGCGATAATAGCAGAAAAATCAGTGAAGTATTGCTAATAATGGGTCAAATTTAATTTACCTTTTAGTGAAAATAATATATTGTTATTCGGATAATAGATTGTGAGTTTTGATATCTTGATAAAATTTACAGAAGTGCTGTTGCTAAACGATCCGACTTCTAAATAAAGTCTTCAACAGTTTTATTTTTGTTTATGAATATCAGCATCGTAGGTTTTTCGTTGCTCAAATTCTTTTCCATGAGCTCAAGAAAATGAAAATATGTCTTAATTTTGATGATAGCAAAGTCTAAAAAACTGCCTAGTAGATATGCTTCCCAAGTGTGGATTCAAAGGTTTAAAAAATCAGTGAAACAAATCCTTAATAAGAAAGCGACAAAACGGAGGTGTAATACTAAGCTTCGAAATCAAACGTTAGCTCAGATATTCGAAACCAAGATTTGTTTTATTCCTGCCTCAAATTATTCCATTCCTTTCAATAAAAATAAATTGTTTTCACGTATCTATCTAGATTTATCTTACGTATATTTGCCGCAGAATCCCAAAGCTAGAGTCTCATAAACTCTTATTATTTGTTTTCTGAATTCCCCAATACATAGCATTTTCTGAAATGTAAAACGGAAATCCTAATTTAAACGAAATTCAAGCCCGAAAGTTACTTTTCCGTAAATTGTGATTCCCAGAATGAGTAAGGCCATTGAGTCTATTCATCTTACTTCCCGTTTGAAAATATTTTGCTTTGCAGTCATGGTTCAAGGAAACAGCTGAAGATTTTAGTTTAAGAACCTTATTTGCTTTCCCGCAATCTATAATAAAGTTTGGAATTTCTCCATTTCGACTCCTTCAACAACTATACATATATTATACTTTCTTTCTATTTTTTCTGTGTTTTTTTAAAAGTTTTATCAGCTATGGTAAGGTTTTATCAGCTATGGTAAGGTTTATCAGCTATGGTTTTAATGTTTCCTCTTTGAGTAAAAGTATGTAAATATAATGAAGTACAGTTATTAATTTTGGTTCGTAATAATAACACACACATAATATTTTATAAATTAAATTATGAACATTATATATATTCAATATTTGTTATTTAATATTTAAGTTTATTTTTGCTGCTAAAAGTATTTAATGATACTTAACAATAAATTTTCTCAACTCCTACTTTAATAAATCTGATATACTTAGAAATTTATATATTTCTTTTTTTGAGTTCCATTCTTGTATTTTTCATGTCACCAGGTCAAATAAAATTCTTCCATTAGTTTGAGCAATGCCGTAATATCGTCCATCTTCAGATCTGATAGCTCTTAAAACGGGAAATATAAATGAACCCCCATGTGCGTGTAAATGACATAGTAATATTAACATGCATTTCAATATGCGTAAAAGTGATAATTTGATATTTTTATTTTTCTTATTTAATATGTCACTAAAGATAAACTCTTATGCTTATCCGAAAAGAATTTTTCTTCCTTTCTTTTAATCACTTTCATTTCTAAATGCTTTATGACGTTGATATGATCACACTAAAGTTGACAAAAATTATCACATTTTACAATGATTCACGAAACTTTGTTCCCTTACGGGGCAGTTCTATTTGAAATAAAAGAAAATGTTACTTTGTTCACAGTTTCGAAGTAGCATGTGTCACAATACACAATTTTCCACGTATTGACGTTCTTGGATGCATCGAGAAAATGCCTTGTTATATGGTCTCTGCCATTCTTTCGGATAGCTTCCGTCACGTAAAAACGTTGACCCTATAAAATCCTGTTCAGAAGGTAAAAACGAGTGCAAGCCTCCATTCTATTAAGCTTCTGACATCGCTAACATATCAAAAGACTTTTAGAGATTTTGCCACTCGGGTTTGTGAGGGCAAGCCTTGAAGTGTCCTGTCATCAAACCCAGCTTTTATTTCTGACCACCCACGAACAGTTGCGGTTGCATTTTTTAGACTATTGACGGGACATGACCGTCTACAGAATCATTTATTTCGCATTGGACTAGCTTATTTGCCGTTGTGTGTTTTATGTAATAGTGGAAGGCCAATGACTGCGGAACATTTGGACGAGTGTGAAGAACTGACAAATTTTTCTTGTAGATTTCAGCGCTATTGCAAGCAAGGAGTTTAATGGCCTAATGGACAATGTAACTGGCAGAGATAGAACTAGCTTTGAAAGTCAAATGTTTGGCAAATAAAGCAGCTTTATCATGACAGAGGTCTATTTTTGAGTAGAAGAAGCCAAGATTCTTTGCTCAAACTCTCTTTGCGGAGAATGCAATAACGAGCGAAAGTATTCGAAAGGTATATCAAGTCCTTTTTCAATAAAACGTGAAATATGCTATCATGGACAAAGATACATTTCTTCTACACATGTTGAGCTCATGCTTTCTGACAGTCATATTTAAACAATGTAAGTTCCATCACATAAACATGACATTTCTTTCAATCTTTTTGAGCACAGAAGTATAAAAGAACATATCATAAAAAGACTCATAAATATCTATAATTTAGCTTTCAAATTTCAAAACTGCTTAAGGAATGATTAACAAAAGCTACACATTACTAGGATGAAATATGAGAGGCATTGATATAACTACTATATTAAATAATTCTGCTCTATCATTTTAAACAATTATGCAGTTTAACTGGCATTGGTTGATTAATTTTTGGATCATATGAAGTT